CGTGGTGCGCAATACCCTTATAAAAGATAATCTTCAGCTTAATAATTGAGTTTTCTGCTCCTCTTTCTAGATTCCTTGTAGCTTCAACACTTCGTGGTGTCGGATAGTCTACTACATCAGGTAACGTATTCTTCTGTTGCATTGGTATCTGCTCACCGAAAAAAAAAAAAAAATTGGCAGATCCCACGTACAGTGGGAATCGATGACATGCTAAGCACGAATGAGGAAGGCTGATATGTCACTTTATAATCAGCACAACGTTACGAGGCGAATGTAAATTTTGCCGTGCATGACTTCCATGTTATTATTATCATGTTTGCACGTGTCATTTACCTTCGTTTTCTATTCACGTCACGTGATAACAAATTTGGTATATATGAAGCTAGCGAAATGGCTGTGAGCATGCTATGAATGTAGCATGTAGTCTTGTTTTACATGACACGAATGCCATGATTATCATGTTTGGACCTGTCATATACCTTTGTCGTCTATTCACATCACGTGATACCAAATTTGGTATATGTGAAGCTAGCAAAATGGCCGTGAGCGCATCATGAAGGGCCCAACAAACTCTAATGTAGCGCTGATGCGCGCGCAAGCTAGCAAAACGGCCGCGAGCGCTACATGAGCGTGGTATGTTGTCATGCTCTTACATGACATGCATGTCATGAGTATCATGTGTGCACCAGTCATATACCTTCGTCATCTGTTAATGCCATGTAACACCAAATTTGGCATATTGAAACTAGCAAAACGACAGCAAGCGCATCATGAGTGTGGTATGAAGTAATGTTTCACATTACACGCATGTCATTATTATCACGTTTGGACGTGTCATTTACCTTCCTCATCTATTCACGTCATGTGATACGAAATTTGGTATATGTGGAGCTAGCGAAACAGCTGTGAACGTGCTATGAGCGTAGCATGTAGTCAAGTTTTACATGACACAAATGCCATGATTATCATGTGTGGATGTGTCATATACCTTCGCCGTATATTTACATCACGATACCAAATTTGGTATATGTGAAGCTAGCGAAACAGCAGCGAGCACTTGATGAGTGTGGTATGTTGTCATGTTCTTACATTACATGCATGTCAGGATTATCATGTGTGCGCCAGTCATACACCTTCGTCATCTGTTGACGTCACGTAACACCAAATTCGGTATATGTGAAGCGAGCGAAACGGCCACAAGAACATCATGAGTGTGGAATGAAGTAACGTTTTACGTGACACGCATGTAATTATTATCATGTTTAGACATGTCATTTACCTTCGTCATCTATTCACGTCATGTGATACCAAATTTGGTATATGTGGAGCTAGCGAAACGGCCGCGAGCGTTTCACGAGTGTGGGATGTTGTCACGCTCTTACATGACATGCATGTCACAATTTTCATGTTTGCACCAGTCACATACCTTCGTCATCTGTTGATGTCACGTATCACCAAATTTGGTATATGTTAAGCTAGCGAAACGGCCGCAGGCACATCATGAGTGTGGTATGAAGTCATGTTTTACATGACACGCATGTCATTATTATAATGTTTAAACGTGATATATCTTTGCCGTCTATTCACGTTATGTGATACCAAATTTGGTATATGTGAAGCTAGCGAGACGGCCGTGAGCGCATCATGACCGTGGTATGTTGCCATGTTCTTACATGACACGCATGTCATAATTATCATGTGTGCACCAGTCATATACCTTCGTCATCGGTTGACGTCACGTAACACCAAATTTGGTATATGTGAAGTGAGCGAAACGGCCACAAGAACATCATGAGTGTGGTATGAAGTCCATGGTTCATAGCACCAGAGTGAGACGAAAATCAAGGGTTTTCAAGGACTTTCAAGGACCTAACAAGTACTTTCAAGGACCTAGAATAACACTTGAAACCACAGAAAAAGACGTGACTTCTTACAGCATAAAGGTTTGTACTTTATTACAGCATAAAGGTTCGTACTTTGTACGGTTGGCAGCATAAACACTCAAGTTACCATAAACTTTAGTCGCTTTTGTATTCTCAATGTGTTTCGTACTCTTTATGCGACGTTTAAGGGCAGACTTTTTCATTGACGACACATCGAAGCTCTTCCCACATGATAAAACTTTGCCTGATGCGAGTTTGACGTATGAGGTGCAATCCACTCCCTACAAGCAGCAATGTATAACCAAGACAGCAGGAATTTGCACTTGCCCAGCATAGTTCCACCACAAGCGATACGACTGTAATATCCGTGCATACTTGCGCAGTCTCCACAAAAAAGCCCGGCTTAGCTACGTCGATGCTGCTGTAACCACACAAGTGCTACCATAACAACAGTGTACTAGAAGTCACTGTACTGCAACTATAGTGCCTAGAATATACTGTAACACTGCAATATGACTAAAAAAGGGATTGGATCAGATAGTTTGTTGGCTATAGAGAGCAAATAGTTGCCAGGTGCACAAAAAAGTCCACTAAATTATGGCTGAATGAACTTTGATTGATGAAATTCAAGGACATTTAAGGACCTCGAACAAATTTAAGGGTTTTCAAGGCCTTGAAAATGCCATTTAGAAATTTAAGGGTTTCAAGGACCGCAACGAACCCTGGAAGTCATGTATTACATGACACGCATGTCATTATCATCCTGTTTGAATGTGTCATTTACCTTCGTCGTCTGTTCGTGTCACATCTTAACAAACTTGGTATATGTAAAGCAAGCAAAATGGCCGCACGTGTGCTATGAGCGTAGCATGTAATCATGTTTTACATGACATGCACGTCATCAAGGTCATGTTCGAACGAGTTATTCAGCTTCGTTGTTTGTCGCATTACGTAATACCAAATTAGGCATATGTGAAGCTAGCGAAATGACGAGTGCATTATGAGCGTGGCATGTAGTCATGTATTACATGACACGCATGTCAAGATTGTCATGTTTGGACATGTCATTTATCATTGTCATTCATTCCCATCACATAATACCAAATTTGGTATATGTGAAGCTCACAAAATGGCCACGAGTGTATCGTGAGTGTGGTATGTAGCCATGTTTTACATGACATGCATTTCATGATTATCATGTTTGCATCAATCACATACCTTCGTGATCCATTCACGTGCCGTAATACCCTATTTGGTATATGTGAAGCTAGCGAAACCACCGCGAGCCCCATGAGTGGGGCATGTAGTCATATTGTTACATGACACACATCTCATGATTATCATGTTTGGACATGTCATTTACCTTCGTCATCCATCAAATTTATATGTGAAGCTAACGAAACGTCCGTCAGTGCATCATGAGCGTGGCATGTAGTCATGTACTTATATTACACGTATCTCATGATTATCATGTTCGCACCAGTCATATAACTTCGTCATCCATTCACGTGACGTAATACCAAATTTGGTATATGTGAAGCCAGCGAAGCCGCCCCGAGCGCATCATGAGTGTGGCATGTAGTCATGTTGTTGACACACATCTCATGATTATCATGTTTGCACCAATCGCATGCCTTCGTTATCCATTTATGTCCCGTAATGCCAAGGTTGGTATTGTATGTGAAGCAAGTCGAACGGCCACGAGGGCGTCATGAGCGTGGCATTTAGTTATGTTGTTACATGACACGCATGTCATGATTACCATGTTAGGGTCTGTCACTTGTATTTGCCATACAGTCATGTCATACCACACCAGTTTTGCAACAAGTCATGTGAACGAAACCACAAGAACAGCAAGACCATGAAATGTAAATCATGACATTCATGTCATATTTTAATGTTATGACTTGTCACTTTATGCTCGTCATGCAGTCATGTTACGTCATACCAATTTTGGTATAGATACCATTATTGAAACGGCCTGGAGAACTTAAAGTTGTAGACGGCTAGATAGACAGATAGAAAGAGATATAGATAGATACGCTCAAAGTCGCTTAAGTTCGCTAAGAAATGCTTCGCATTAAAAAAGACAGGCCAGCGGCGAACGAGCAGCACTGTCACAGTGCAACCTGAGAGAGCAGTTTTTCAAGAGCCCATTGTAAACTCTCTTGCAGCATGAAAAGAGCCTAATTCTGGCATTGCAATGAAGTTCTTCTCTCTCTTTCTTGGGGCAACTAGTACAAGCTACCCTTAAAAGGAATCCACTATGCCAAAAATCAACATAATCTTTGTGATATCGGGTAGCACCACCTACACCATTTTCTATCATTCTCTGAAGCTTAGATCTCGCTTTACATCTCTAAGCAATTATGTGCACTCGGTTTGGCTGTGGCTGATGATGAAGAATTATGGCTGTGCTCTTAAAATAGGTTGGAAGCATTCAATGATCCACTCATTGTGAAAAGCAGGCTGTCTGTGGCTGGCTGAACGATGAAGGTGATCCACATCAGGGATCGTCAAAGCCGACTGCACCAAAATATCTAATAAAACTTCACTTATAAACTGAACACAAGAGACTCCATCTAGTTCTATTGAACTTCTTTTTTATTGCCTTGCCCTGTAGCCCTTCTCTTGTTGTCTTGTTTCAACTTCTTCTACTTATAAGTGTAGGCCATTCGGCTTGCTTCAAATACATGCTACTGCGATTCCTTGCCCGATACGATGCCTGTATAGGGTCCTTTTTTTTGCGAGAGTTTCAAGCACTGGCATGGCTCTGTGGGAGGGTACTCAACTGCCACACAGAAGGCCTGGGTCCCGTCCAATGCGCTACGCTTTTTTCTCTAATTTCACATGATAGTGGCTAAAAAGAGCAGTGACGGACAACTACAGCACCAAAGTCAGCTGTGGTTGTGATAGCACAGCAGCTTCCACAGTAAAAGCGCAGTAATCATGTTGATGCTCTACATATTCACAGTGGAAGGTGAGGGAAACATAACTTCTCATTAAAGCAATTCCACTGCTACGGCTCAACACAGCCCCAGAAGATCACAGCATCAACGCAGTTCATGTTTACATGTCTTGTGTTGCTTCAGTGGCAATGAAAGAGAGTTCCACTTACAAAGGGCAAAAATACAGTATTCATTTTTTTTTTTATTGATGTAAAAATCAGGCACATCAGCTGAGCTCGTGGCTAGATCGAAATTAGTAGCTGGGCAACACACAACCAGTGCATTGCTTGCACTCAAAATACGCCACAAAGCTTCACCCTTTCTCTTCATATCTCCTATAAATGTTGTAGATACTTCTCCATATAAATAATTACATCATGCTGCACGGTGCCGACAACAGTGGGAAAAACAAGGAACCTAAAGAGCATGACATTGAAAGAGCCCAAATGAAACGCGCTCGCATTTTTAAAAATGCTGCTCTCTGGGCTACTCGGTGCAATTGCAACAAAACTATGACAAACATGTTTGAAACAACTGAATGTTTTACAGCAGTAAAAATTCAAGCAAGAAAAAAAAGGCATCTCTCAACGTTAAAATTTCACATTTTCGATTCACAACACCACGAGGTCAGAGTCATGGGGAGGCAGGAGTGGTAGGTTCCGTCAAATTGCATTATGCATTGTCATCTTTGCACAGCGCAGCGCCATAGTGTAACATGTTCAATGCAACTAAGCATGCATGGTTAGACTGCACAAACATTTGTTAAAAGCTTTCTTTTCCCCACAAAGAAAATTTTTGTTGGACATATAAAAGCCACCCTGTATGCTGGGCTTTGAAATTCGTTTACCGACATGGCAAAACGTATTCCATTTTAATTTAATAAAATATGCTTGCTTTAGGATTCAGTGCCGCAGTACATTATTGTAGTGACAGGGATTTTGGCAGAAAAACCTGCCATTCGGTGGTCAATTCAAAGCAGAGTTTGCTCACTACAACATCAACATGTTTTCTCATCGACAAAAAGATTTCGCTGAAATCAACAATAAAAAATGCTGCAAGCATAGTAATGAAATGCACCGCTCAACTCTAATTGAATGCAAAACAGCTCGCACCGCTTCTGAGGCAAGCTGCCATCTCTCACAAAACCTGTGCACGTATTTTACAATGCCATTCTGTATGTTCGTCGATTCAGAACCCTTTTCTAGACCTCGTCCACTATACCTTAGCTCACACCAATTCAGTTAAGCCTTTGATGCTACAACTTGTCTACAATGAGGAGAAATGCCTTTCAAACCGTATATAACAATCATCAGGCACTGAAAGTTGTAGAGCTGATACGAAATACTTAGGCCAGCTTGGCATGCAGCTTTTAGTAATTAAATGCCTCACAACGAATGATCAACACTTTTTGTCGCACTTTGACTGGCTAACATGATTCTTTTTCCCCATTTCTGTGAAAAACACTATCTTCCATTAAATTTAGACACATAGAAAAAAAAAGACATGAGGTGTCATGCAAATATCTGGATGTCATTCAAAAATAGCAGAAATAAAAACCCTGAAACAGGCGTGTGCTGGATATGTAGCTCAGCCATTCGCTAGAACTCAACACAATTTTTTTCTTTACAAAGAAACAGCCAGTCTGACAAACCATCGAAACAAGGAAAAACAGGTTAACAAGTGCAGTTAGGCATGGAGTCTGCTCACGGGTTTAACCAGCTTTTTTATCGCATTTTGAGAAACTGCAACTGAAAAAAAAATAAAAATAAAAAAACTTTTCTACAGCTCTGTGTGCAATAAACAGGCACAGATCGTCCATTACGTCTGATGACTATCCACTGACATCTACATATAGACGAATCTCATGGTCATTGAGGTGAAGCTGGGTTGACTTCCATTGTTATTGGAAGAGTGAATAACTGATTTATGGCTAAAAAGGCAATTGCTGCAGCATGTCTGCATCCTTATCCCCTCCCAAGGAAACAAAGTCATCAAAAAAAGTACGAGGCTCGGTAGCAACACACGTACGGTCATAAGTGGCGCTGCACCCTACCGTGCGGCAGGGCTTCACCATTGCGATTCAGGCAGTGCGAAACTGGAGAAAGGAGAATGCAACGAAAATAGAAAACCCTCTGATGCATTAGCTCGCATAACTCTATTGTTCTTCTCCACCCTTTCCCCATCCCACGAAAAATTATGCTAAACAGATGGCTCCAAGGTGACACAAGAGCAAACTCTCAGTTCATAACTGCGCACAGCACGAGGATAAACGGTCTCGAGACTACAACTAAAGCCCCGAACACAGACAAACAACAGAGGACTTGTCATTGCGAACAGCCAACGCGTTCTACGCTGGAGAAGAAGGAACGAAAGAAACCAGCGGCGGCAGCGGCAAGAGAAAAAACCTAGGTCGGCGGCTGCAGTCCGGCGATGCTCACGCGTCCAGGTCGCGGATAAACACAGTCTCTGTCTTCCCGAGTCCGATCTCGGCAAAACTCGGAGGCTCGGGGCACTCGCGCGTGGGCTCACAGGGCAGTGTCCGTCGCGGGAAGTTTGTGATGATCTCGAAGCTGTTGGGCGCGTCCGCTTGGCAGAAGACGTAGAAGTACAGATACTGGGCCATTTAGGGATGGGGTAAGTGAAGAGGAAAGAAGAAAAGATGAGGTGACATAGAGATAGGGTTGCCCTTAGAACGTCATACTACCGTGAAATACTGAGCAAGCGATCCCTCTCTCCTCCTGTAATTTTACTTTTCTTCCTTTAACCTCTGGTCTGCTACAGAATCTTGCAGCAGTGGTTCTTGGGAAACAAAGTTCCAAGACTCTTTAGATATGTGTACGATTTCATAGTGCTCTTTCAATGTGGTGTCTCGGGGCTGCAGTCTGAGCTGTCAAAATTCGTTGTTGCATTAGAACGACTTCAATCCTTGCAAAACAGATGAAATTTAACGCGAACATTCCTTATATAAAAGATTTCATTGGAAGCACAGGTGTAGATTATTTTTACAGGTCCTTCTACCACTATCTTGGAATTGAGTACGTGACATGAGCAAGGCCCTCCCTGCAAATCTTGTCAAATTATCTTTTATCGCATGAGGAGTGCTTGCTCAGGATGTTACAAAGCCCGTTAATCGTTCAACATGCCTATTCACAAGCAGTATTACATTCAATACGACATGCAACATGGGAGTGTGTGGTTGAACGATATGTAAAGTTGAGTATGTGTGCTTCTTGCCCTCATTTTCCCGGGAAACTAAAGAAAGTTCCCTGTTTTGTGATTATCATTAATTAAAAAACAGCCATTAGTAAAGGAAAAAAGAAAAAATCTAAGCTATGAAAACGTTTGGAGCTTGTTTCACAGTGCTCTGCAATGTAGCATGTTATATTGAGTGTAGTATAACAGTTGCAAAAAAACAAAATGCAAACACAAAATTGCAAAGTACTATAGGTCTTGGGAGTGGTCACTTGTGAGCCCTATCTTGAACCTTTAATTATATTGTTGTCAATGAGGCTTGAAGCTCCGAATTGAGTGCTTAAACTAAAATCATGCTGACAATAAGCACGCTAGCAAAAACAAAGCAATATGTTATCGTTAGCACAGCAGTATAACCTAATTACAACAGACCTTCATAGTGAAGAGGATTTCGGTCTATTGTAGAGCCAGTATGTAAAATCCATGTGCTATTACAACAGGCTGTTACGTAAAAAGTGTTATAAAGATTGCTATGCATATAGAGTCAGTTATAACCAAAGAGAACTGCAAGTCACAAACACGATTGACTAACGAATTTATTCTTAGATCATTTGAAAAAAGCTTGTCAGCTTTGTCTGCACTGTGTGAACGACAGCTTTAGACACTATATGTGTCTCCATCGTCACAGGCCTGCTCACATCATTGGCACATGTGGCCTGTTGTTCAAAAGTTTTTCAGTCCTTGAATGTAACCCAGGACCTGAGGAATTGTCACTTTCTTGGTTACAATCTCCAAGATGCCTTATTCATTTTAATCTTCGTGCTGCTCTGCATTTGGTACTCCACGAACGTGGGCGACAATCTCTTCATCTGTCAGCTACTCTGTACCGACAAGGTCATCATCCACAGTTACATATAGTATAACCTCATTACAATAGATATGCTTACTAGAGATATTCGGGTACTACAAACTGATTGGCAGTGTTATGCCGACCTCCCTGCTTGTTCCATTGATTGAGCTTCATTTACAGTGGATTCTGGTACAACAGACATTCGGATACAATTGTCTAAAATACGAGGCAAGCAAGGTGACCAGGACTCTCTTACAGCGGACTTTTCTGCAACAGACATCCTAAATTCTATAACTTGTAACTTCAAAGATCACTTGACATACTTTCGGGATGGGCATAGCGCCACAGATATCGGCATATCGATTTAAGAACAAATGCCGCCGATCTCTGGTTTGTTAGCGGTCTATTACGCCAAGCTATGGCGACGAAAAATCGGCGCGCAGCGAGCTTGATTTTGCGTGTTGGGGCACAGACGTATGAAATTGCTGAACACTGCCACCGCTGTTACGAGCGGTCAGTAAGTGGCGAGCTTGACCAGGATTTGCTAACGATGCGCAAGATGCTTATTCACGGTTCTGAAGAGCCAGCGGCTGATGCCATCCATTGCTTGCGACGAAGCACATTACGGCTTCTTTTTCGCATGTCCGCAATCAGAACGGTCTTGCCTGCCAAGTTTGGGGCAAAGTTAGGCCTTGCCACGACTGCGAGCAGAAAGCGCGGATGTGATGTGCATGGCCATGGCACCTGATGTTTCAAAGCACGACATGCTCGATCGAGAGTAGAAAGGTTTCTTCTGCGGTGGTCTTCGTCACAAGGTCCGAAGAGCTGGTAAGCTGAACCTTCCCGCCAATGAGTCAATGCTATGACGGTCGGTTCGAGATGCGGGCGATCGTAATCTGATCACTGAACTTCTGCTTGCAGCTGGCTTAAGTAAGGCGTAATTGTATCCCACAAAACAAGTGCGAAAGCACCACTGAGTAGCCCGATTTCAGGCAGCCGCGACCTTGCGACGCACAAGAAGCAGACGACGCTATCGTGGAAGCGTATTTCAGAACGGGCACCGGACCAGTGAGGCGTACTGGAGCAACACGGCAGAAGCAGCCAATCAGAGGCCTCTGAATGAATTTCAAATATCTGTTTTTTGGACTTCGAATGCTCTTTACAAAATAGTTTTACGACCAGCGCAAGATGATAGTGGGCAGTTGTGCCGCTGCGAAGTTGCAAATTTTTGAAAAAGGCCATTTTTGTTTCCGACTTTCACAATGACTCTCACCACCTCGATAGGAGCAAAAAACTTTGTACCGCCCTTCTACGTAGTTTTCAGTGAAGATATTTTGGGCTACACAAACTCATAGCTCGGCATACTCACTCATGAGTACACTCACTCACACTCAATCATGCTCATTTGAACATGGTGAGTGTGAGTGAGTGAGTATGAGTAGGAGTGAGTAGAACGTGAGTGAGTACTCATGAGTATAAGTAAGAGTGAGTATAGACGTGAATGAGTACTTTCAGTGTGAGTAGAAGTGAGTATGGACGTGAGTGGGTGCTCATGAGTGTGAGTAGGAGTGAGTATGAACGTGGATGAGTATTCTGAGTGTGAATAGGAGTAGGTATGAACGTGAGTGACTACTCTGAGTGTGAGTATAAATGAGTATGAATGTGAGTGAGTACTCTGAGCGTGAGTTGAATGGAGTATGAACGTGAGTGAGTATTGTGAGTGTGAGTAAGAGTGAGTATGAACGTGAGTGAGTACTTTGAGTGTGAGTATGAGTGAGTATGAACGTGAGTGAGTACTCATCAGTTTGAGTAGATGTGAATTTGAACGAGAGTGAGTACTCATCAGTGTGAGTATCCGTGAGTATGAACGTGAGTGAGTACTCATCAGTGTGAGTATCCGTGAGTATGAACGTGAGTGAGTATTCATCAGTGTGAGTAGGAATGAGTGAGAGCTTGTGAGTGTGAGAAGGAGAGAGTATGAACGTGAGTGAGTACTCATGAGTGAGAGTTGGAGTTTGAACATGAGTAAGTACTGATGAGTGTGAGTATTCGTTAGTATGAACGTGAGTGAGTATTCATGAGTGTGATTAGGAGTGAGTGAGAGCTCATGAATGTGAGTAGGAGTAAGTACGAACGTGGGTGAGTACTCATGAGTGTGAGTAGACTTGACTGCGAAGGTGAGTGAGTTGCTGTGAGTGTGAGTAGCAACGAGTAGAAACATGAGTGAGTTACTATGAGTGTGATAAATAATTGTAACCATCGCAACGGTGTCTTCAATACATCGCAACGGTGTCTTCAATACGTTGGAAATAACGGGCACTATGGCATGCAAGCTTCCTGTACGTAAAAGCCTTCAGTTAGTTTGGAAATTGGGGGAGCCATCCTACATCAGATGGGGGGAGGGGGGGGGGGACGATATGATTGCGCAAAACTCGAGTTGAGAGTAGCCGTCCATTTTATTGTAATTTGAATTTTCTAGGCTGAATAACTTTGAGCTGCCTGTCTCTATAAAAACCGTTCTTGCTGCACTTACCTCTTGCGCTTTCAGTCTACGCAACACGCTGATAATACATGTAAAACAACAAGGTCTTGAGAAGCCCTTTAACGAAAATCGCCGCGCGAGTCGGTTCAGAAAAAAAAATCCACTGCGCAAGCAAAAAAAAAAAAACGCTGAAATGGCCCACGAAAGAAAGCACATTGTGTGCCCTACGCACATTATGCACAGCGATTTTGCAGTTTCTACCTCTGCATTGTCCCTCAGTGAAGGTTGCCTTGAACGAAAACCTTAAGTGATCTCATGACCTCTCAAGCGCGAAGCTGTGTGCAAAGTTCACCTTCTCAGTGCCCCATTAAAAAAAAAAAGGAAAGCTTGGAGGACGGTTGAGCTTCGCCGTCAATAGTATAGTATGCGATAGCGTAATCGGACCCTGTTCGCATCGCCGTTTCAATCTCTAACCTCGCTTCACTTTTTGGCGGCTTATTATGCCTTCAACAGTGCAGACACAATGTGCAATAAGCGCCCAATCACCATTGATAATTTATTTTATCATTGACATAACGCGGGCTTGTACAAAAACACACATAACGCAACTCGTTAATTACCTTTTCATTCGGCTGTCTGCGATAACCCTGCATACGCACACTGCCAATGAACCTTAACCGCGTTCACAGATCCATAAATAAGGCCCCCTGCAATCGTCAGTGCGGGCACGGAGCCAACGAAGTCTCTGCGTGAGCGCGACCCACAGAGGAAGAAAAACATCTCCGAAGATGCGCACAATTTCTCTAATGCAAAACTGCCGTACGCAACGCATTCCATTTGAAGGCGAGTCAGAGAGGGCGAGTCTCGACGGTCGCGCCGGGCCACAGAACACCTACCAGTGGCCGGGCGGCCGGGGTAGCCGCGGCGCCGACGTGGGCGCGAGGCCCCGGCGCCCGCCTGTCCCACTAGTGCAGTCAGAAGGGGCTAGGGGCAGTGGAACGAACGAAGCAGCCAAGCTGGATGGCATGGCAACGTCTTGGGTTCTGGCGGGTAATCATAGCGGCGGCCGTGTAGTATACTGAAGCTGTCG